CCGCCGCCACGAATACTCCACCCAAGGACGACCCAACGATCCTCGCCGACTTGATCCACGCGCGTGTTGCCTCGTACGCTGCTCTTGTATGCAATGGCCTCATGCGCCCGTGCTTGTCGTAGAACGATCCAGCAAGTGGTCGCACTGCCGTCGCCCAAGCTGGTGAACCGGACGGCGGCGATCTCGTCCTGCCTCTTTGTCTTCCAGGTATCCGAACCGACGCTGCACAGACGCTCACGCTCGTTCGTAGCTCACGCGGTCGGCCAAGGCGCGCGCGCAGTTTTTCATTCTTTGCCGCGTCGCACTGCTCTCCGTGCTCGGGACGGTGGCGTGCGCGTCTCTGTCGGTGCGCTGCCTCCAGCTCATTGCCGCCTTGCCCCGGTCGTCCCAGCGCTACCTCCAATACGCCCAGCAACTCTTGCTGCAACAGCCGTCGTCCGTGCTCCGGCTACGCCACACCAAGGACGGCGACGACGAGGCCAAGCATCGATCGCGCTGGGCCACCGTGTCCAAGTCGGTCCTTGCCGCTGTCGCCATTGGCTACGGGCTTCGCAAGCTCCAGCGCTAGACCGTAATATTCGGGCCGTAGAGATGCCACTTGGTCAATTCTTCCGTGGCGACAGCATGGCCTGCTGGCCTCATCTAGCCCATCCCATGCACATGTTGATATGGACCAGGTGTGCCAATGCTGCTAGCCGATCCCCGTGGCCGATCGTCCACGAGGACGGCCGTTGCGCACATGGTTGAGAAGAATCTTTCGCAAGTATTTTCACATGGTCCGCAATTTGACGAAATATTCTCAATTAGTCCGCAACTTGTAAGACCAATATGTTCACTTGGTCCGCAAGCCACCATTCTACCAGCACTCTGACACCCCAGCACGCCAGAAGCCCACGACCACATGCCCTTACTTGCCCCTTACTCCCTTGCTTACCCTACCTCCCCTTACCATCGCCAACCATCCTCAAGACCTCAACACTGCGCTGCCCAAGTCACTCCCTCAACAAATGGGGTTAGATTAGAGCATCTCCTGGACCGTTTGTGCTGTCTAATCAAAAGACTTGCGGACCAAGTTGCGGACCAATTGAGCCAAATTCAAGACCTATTGAAAAATACTCATCTTTCGCGGCAATCCGGATACGATCTCTCGACCTTCGAATCCGGATGCGGGCACGACAATCATTCCCGACATCGTGTGCTGGAGCGACGATGGCCGCCGACATGGCCGTGACCGAGGTCGAGACCGCGATCACGCGGCTCGGACGCATCACAAGCGACATCAAGACCAAGACGTCGCTCTTTAAGACGCCGCAGGACACGCGCGCCAACCACGACCAGCTCAATGCGCTCGCAAAGGAAGGCAACGACTCGGTGCAGATGCTGCGCAAGCAGCTACAGAGCCTCTCAAGCGCCACGTCGACCGCCAACAAGAGCGCCGTGCGCAAGCTCTCCAAGGGCTTTCAGGCGCAGGTGACCGCATTTGAGCAGGCGTGCAGCAGCATGGTCGCGTCCGAACAGTCGGCGGTCGAGCTCATTCGGAGAACGTCCACGAAACTGGATGCGTCCACGCAAGGCAGCCTCGCGTGCAACGAAGACCAGCTCTACGCGCAAGCCCAAGTGAGCGTCTACAACGAAGATGGTACGAGACGCCATCGAGGTCGAGGTGCGATCGCATGTAGATCTCGTGCGGCGCGAAGAAGACATCATCAAGATCAACCACCAGCTGCGCGAGATCAAGGCCGCGTACGAAGAAGTGGGCGGTCTTCTCGAAGACCAAAAAGACGTTGTGAGTACGGCCACTGACATTTGATTGCTCACGACGGTGCTAAGCTGGGCGAATGCTGTAGTTGAAATCGCCAACAACACCGAGAACGCCCGGGAGAACGCGCGCGACGGCCTTGAGAACGTCCAACAAGCTGATAAGAAGACAGGGTACTGCACGTGCACGTGCTGCTATCTGTGCACGATCATGTGATCGGAGGCGACGGGCTGCTGTGCATTTGCATCTTCTTCCCCAATAAACAAAATCAAACCTTTGAGGACTACTGCAGCGATGCGCCGAGGAGGATGACCTAGACGCCGCTGTCGCATAAGTCTACGCGCCACCTGCGTACATGGGCTTGCAATGCGTCGACGTGTAGGGACAGCAGCCGACATCCATTGGTCGGCGTGGTGTCGGTCCTGTCGACGACGACGGTTCAAGATCCACGGCGTGTTTTTACCCAATAAACGCATTTAACGCACATCGTCGTCCTCGGTTTCGACGGCGTCTTTTTCGATATGGGGTGTTTAAACAGGTGGTAATCTACAACACGCTTGGAACAAGCCGGACGATGGACCTCGAGACAGCGCCCGCGATCGACAAGGCCTCGCCCGAGGGCGACAGCCTCGTGCGCAAGGTGCTCACGCAGTCCATGCACCTCACGCACGACGAGAACAACGCGTCCATCTCCGACGCGAGCACGTACTCGCCGCAGGCGCCGTGGACGCCCAAGTCGCTCGGTCGGGCCAAGAGCGCAATCATCTACCGCGTACGTCGCCTA